CCTACTAGCGATGGCCTCCAACCTACTAGCGATGGCCTCCAACCTACCAGCGACCTCCAACCTACTAGCGATGACCTCCAACCTACTAGCGATGACCTCCAACCTACAAGCGAAGGCCGCCAACTTCCTCCAACCTAATAGCGATGGCCTCCAACCTACCAGCGACCTCCAACCTACTAGCGATGGCCTCCGACCTACTAGCGATTGCCTCCAACTTAATAGAGATGGCCTCCGACTAGCGATGGCCTTTAACCTAATAGCGATGGCCTCCAACCTACCAGCGACCTCCAACCTACTAGCGATGGCCTCCAACCTAAAAGAGATGGCCTCCAACCTACTAGCGATGGACAACAACCGATGGCCTCCAACCTACCAGCGACCAACCTACTGGTACCAGTGGCCTCCAAACTAACAGAGATGGCCTCCAACCTACTAGCGATGGCCAACAACCTAATGGCGATGGCCTCCAACCTACCAGCGACCTCCGACGTACTAGGTGGCCTCCAACCTAATAGAGATGGCCTCCAACCTCCTAGCGATGGCCTCCAACCTACTAGCGGTGGCCTCCAACCTAATAGAGATGGCCTCCAACCTACTAGCGATGGCCAACAACCTAATAGCGATGGCCTCCAACCTACCAGCGACCTCCAACCTACCAGCGACCTCCAACCTAACAGCGGTGGCCTCCAACCTAATAGAGATGGCCTCCAACCTACGAGCGATGGCCAACAACCTAATAGCGATGGCCTCCAACCTACCAGCGACCTCCAACCTACTAGCGACCTCCAACCTAATAGAGATGGCCTCCAACCTACTAGCGATGGCCAACAACCTAATAGCGATGGCCTCCAACCACCAGCGACCTCCGACGTACTAGCGGTGGAAAATGGATGGGCTTAGACAGTAGACTCCATTTGTTGGCTGCTCAGTGCTGGGATCGAGACATCGATCTCGTGAAAGTCGTTCTGTGGTTGCGGGTTACCAAAAATATCTGGCGAAAGCGCAAGTTCGATCAATCTAAAAGATCAGAACTTAAACATGTTAGAATAAACATTTCTGCAGAAGCACAACGTTTTGCCTGGATCAGTGTTTCCACCAAATGTATAGATCCTTTGATGCGTGGCCCTCAGTGCATTCAAGTCCGTGAGCCCCACATCCACAAGTGTTGTTTTGGCCACATTTGAGCTCATGACGAGTAGACAGCACTCAAGAACACCCTGTCAGAGGGGTAAGATCCGCTTGAAGTCTTCCCCCTGCAAACAACGAGGTCTGAAATGAGACCACCAGGACGAGATGGAATGCAAAAAAAAAGAGGTGAAAGGCTTCCATGTTCAAGAACGGACAAAGCAGGGCACTCCCAGCGACCATCTCTCGCAGCGGCCACCCACCTTGGGATCTAAGAACTAAACTCCCACTTGCAGCGGGACATAGGGTACACCACGGTGTATGACATACGACGTCTGGGGACGGCGCAGCGCTGTTGCCAGGGTACATGACCATAGGCTATGCATTGTTGGACTCAAGGTGGGACGACGTTTGCATCAATGTGCTGCTGTCTTTGCTGGCACATGCTACTTATGGTACTGTGTATTGCCAAAGAAGGTATTTAGCACTTCATGCTAACCACAAACAAGCAGAACAAGCATGGATTTGGCTCCCAATCAGCACTCAGCTTGGGCCCACATGAAATTTAAGACCACCGTGAGTGTTCGTCTTCATGAAGCAAACTGTTCAAGAATAGTTTGATTGAGCTTGCTTTAAAGCAGGAAACATCTTTAAAGAAAGAGGAGGTTCATGTAGTGACCCTCGGGTCATCACCAGCCAATCTCTTGCTGCAGTGCTGATGTCCACTCCTTAAAGCTGTAGAGTGTCCCTTGTGAAACCGATCTGAAATGGCACGTCTTGTTTTCAAATCGAAACATGTTGCTCAATAACATGCTCGAAAACTGCTTCTAAGCAAAGCACCAGCAAGTTTCTTCATACCTGCCCACCAAATGTTGCATTCAATTCAAGCTATCTAATATACCGATGTTGTGCGACAAGGCATGCCGAAAAGGTTATTGATGATGGTTGACAGGGTGGGGAAGCGGCGGGCGAGAGTTGGTCCCATATGCTTTGCATTGGCTGCACTTGTCTACAAGTCGAGATTATCAAAACAACATCTCACAAAACCTCTTGCTGCATCTTGATGACCTCATATCCTGACACACCGCTGAAAATGTTATGAAAGAGGTGGCTGGGACTATGTTGTGAAGACCGCGATGATGTTGTAAAGAGATTTGGGCAAAATATAATAGTAGGTTAGTAGGGATCATAATAACATTGGAAAACATCTACTTGCAACTGCAAAACTGTTGTGGAAGCCCTGAGAGATGTTTGCCCCGACCTTCAAGAAGTTCTCCAATGGAAATCTCGCCTTTCTCTCGCAACCTGAAGCTGTCCAACTCACAATGAAGCTCAGCTGTCTTTTTACGTCACTTGCACTTGCACTCAGTGTGAGGTCACGACACGTACGAGGTACTTGTTGGTCTAGTGACAATCCTCAAAACCGGAAGAGCAAAACTTTGACAAGTACGTTGGACTATAGTGTGATTCTTTTGAAGTGCACCTAAGGCTTCTGGCTGGCCATCCTCCTCCACATGAAGGCCGTCCATCCAAAAGCTGAACTCTGCCATCCCCTGATGTTCAATTGGTGGCCCAAGGCGAACTGGGGCATCTGCATCTGTCAGGGGCTTTGCCCACACGCCCCACTTCTGAAATGTCTGTCCGTTCCTGGAGTTTCGTGTCTCGATCTGAGAGATGGTCTTGCCCTTAAAAGCAGAAACCAGGTCCGGCCAGAGTGCCGCAATTTTGGAAATGTCTGGCAATGCGTCGCTCTCTTCGATCTTGAAGTGCTCAGGTCGCACGCTTACACAACTCCAGTGTGTATCCAGTACTCGATGCTTCATGTTCAAATCACCTGCAAGAATCACAGCTTTCCCTTTTGACCTTTCTCTCCACATGGCATGTTTCAATGCTCTAAGCCAGCGCAACTTGAAAGGCAAGCGTGGGCCGCCCGCGGCATTGGGCACATACGCATTGAAAAGCACAAAGGAGCCGTGATCGGTCAAAAGACAACGACCTTCGCCATCTAAATCCGGACATCCAAGAGGTGAATTGTCCGCACTCAGCGTCAAGCCCCTTCGCACAAAGGTACAAACACCGTTGAGTCCTTGGCGTTGGTTCCCACACCCATCATTGCAGGCCCAAAAGCTGTCGTATCCATCCACCTCGTACTGTCTACCAGCAGTTGCTAATGCTTTGGAATTCAGTTTGACTTCTTGCAAGCACAAGATGTCTACGCGATGGCGACGGAAGAAGTTTGCAAATCCAAAGCGACGCAACTGGTCCAATGTTGGCTTTAACCCCGCCACATTCCAGCTGATGAGATGGACGTCGCTGGATTCCATGCTGCATGCTGTCTAAACAGAATGCAATGTGATCTAGGTTGAAGTGGACTCTGCAACTGTTAGACTGCTTTGACAACAATTCAGCTGAAATCATGCTACCCCACACATGCCATTTGCTCTTTCACATTGAGAACAAAGATCTGAAGAGTGTCAATACTCTGACATATATATATTTATATATATAGCTGAGATGCAAGAACCCCTCACACAACGCCACAACGCTCCCTCACACAAGCCTGGCTTTATCTCGCTTTGTTCTCTCCCATCGCGTTGCGATGCCGTTTCAGCAAGGCACATACGAGGGACCTACCGATAAAGCTATGCCGTCTTGGCAGAACACGGCCACATTGAAACAAGTACACTTACAATGGCCAAACGCATTAACAAACCTGACCAAACTGCCAGGATCACATCGCCGCAAGCCTTATTGTGTCAAATTCATTACAAAGAACTTCCAAGTGAGTCCTCTGGAGGCCACTGGGTAGCGGACTCCAAGTCTAAATCAACATCCTGGCGGCAATTGCACGAAGGCAAATCGAGGAAACTCATCAGATTCAATCTCCTCCATGAGAAGCAGTTCATCATCGCGTAGACCTACAATGTTCCCAAACGAACCAACAAAATCAAACGAAATCCGTGTCTCTTGGAGTCTCCCTGTGCTCTTCGAGCTCGTGCACTTCGAGCTCTCCGTTTTGATTCTTCTAGCCTCCACTGTGCTCCACCACGTGTTCCACACTCTTCGGTCGACCGTATCCTGGCGAAAGACTGTATCAGTAGAGGCATGTTGAAGACCTGAGGCCTAAGAAAAAGCGAAGAGAAACAAAAGAATATGAAGAAACATGAAAAGAAGAAAACCAAAATTTATGAAAACACCTAATATATATATATATATGCCTATTATATACTTTCCTCTTATCCAAGTCCACCTTCTTTTTTGCCTTTCTCTATTGCATTTGCCTTCATTCGTGTCGCAACGCATTGTATTTGCAAGTGCCTTTTGTCGCAGGTACAGCATGTGTAGAATACTTGGAAGGCTTTCAGGTGTCGACAAATCCGGCTGCAAGATGGTGGGGAAAGAATTTCTGATGCTCTACAGGTCAACTGCGACGTTTCGTACGCCGAAGAAAAATGGGCTGTGAAGTCATCCTTATGTCATATCCACTAACAGGTTGTCTCAGTGGCCCACTCGGAGTGGTTGCATGGCTGTCTGCTTCATCAAGTAGCTGAAGCAGCAGATCCTCTGGTCGTGCAGAAAGAAGACTGCACAGTGCAGGAGACTTTAGCCATCATTGGGACTATGCGTTGAATATTGCGAGCTGCACATAAAGAGTGCTGGTACTCTTCAGTTGCTGGATCGATATTACATTGATATTACATTGATGCATGTGTCATGATGTGTCTATATAATGCTACTAGGAACAAGAAGCTACTAAGGGCTCCTGGCATCGCTACTAGGAGCAAGGACGCTACTAGGGGCTCCTGGCCGTCCTACTAACAAGAAGCTCTTAGAAACAAGAAATACAATTTATGAATTTATTCGGCTGCATCAGTTACACTTGACTTGACATGCAACGAGTCAGACTCGGACCAAGTTCTTTTTCACACCAGCTTGAAAGTCTTGGTTCAAAAGTGCTTTGGTTAATGTGACCCTGTCACAGCAGCCCACGCTGCGTGCACCCCTGGTGCATACCTCTGCCAGGTATTCGTTCCCCTACCGGTACCTGGTAGACTCCTTAAAATAGTCAAGAGGATACTGAATGTCAGTCCTATGACTATGTTGGAGTAGGATTGAAAACAGACGCAGTGCAGTAAGCCAAGAGTCAACACTCGCATACTGCAAATACAGTGACCGACAATTGCTCCGCAATGTCACTGGAGAAATGGTATCTGGACTCATGACCGAAGTATTTTGCCTGGCCGACTGCTGCAAAGGGTGTGGCTTTTCCGCCGACAGCAGCCACTAAAACAGTCCAATTGGTAACAAAAAGATAGAATGGACACCATGGTAACCCGCAGACAGCACCAGTCCATTAGCTCATTGCCAGAGCAATTAGCCAGGCCGACAGCTGCAATTCATCTGGCTTCCGGCCGACTGCGCCAGGGTGACGACCAGTCACTGCAGACAGAAAAATAAGGAACCGCATCCGTGGTACTCAGCTGACAGCGACCACGCGGTGCCACTGGACTTCAGAATGATGAACCGAAAATTGTGCTAAAGCCGTGCCACTTGGATCAGCTTGAGACCGTAGTGTCGAATCGAATCAAACCGTGGACCGTGGATGCCTGCAGATTGCTGCTACAAACGAGGCCACTCCGTGGACGACATCACACAGGCCAAGGAAATCACGTGGATGCACCGCAACCATGGGAACTCAGGCCGACAGCTGCCACGAGCACCTGTAACCACTCGTACCGAGCACAGGGTGTGGTGGGTGGGACAAAAATATCTTGAGAATCAGCGACACTGATTCACTTGGAGCGACACTCCTTTTTGGCTTGAGCCTCAAGCTGAAAAGGAGTGAGTGAACTGAATGACATCAAATAATTCTCATCACCGACCCTGCCTACCTTGAATGAATGAATATATTCGGCTGCATCAGTTACACTTGACTTGACATGCAACGAGTCAGACTCGGACCAATTCTTTTTCACACCAGCTTGAAAGTCTTGGTTCAAAAGTGCTTTGGTTAATGTGACCCTGTCACAGCAGCCCACGCTGCGTGCACCCCTGGTGCATACCTCTGCCAGGTATTCGTTCCCAATGCATTCAAACATACCCAAAGCACTCAGAAGAACTGGAACACACGATATATAATGACGTATGGTAGGCGGAGTAGGTGAGGTACTGGAACGCGATGTACACGGAAGCCATGAGCCTGATACCATTTATCGTGAATCCCTTGCCTGCTAATACCATCGGGCCAATTGTCTGCGGACTGGACCCATTCAAAATAGCACCCGCTGCGCAGTGAGTAGAGGAGAGTAGTGTCCAGCTCCGGGTTATCACTCCTGCCCTTGACTAGGGCCATCAGCGCTGCAATGTTGTCCACAAACCAAATCCCCTGACAGGAGCGGGCCTGGCTGGCCACAAAGATGAATCCGACATAAACTGTAAGAAGCTCCAGCTGGGCGATTTTGGTGGGGTGCTCGGACCACAGGTTGAAGAGCTCCGCCGTAATGTCAACGACATAGGCATCTCGTTCGCCTTGGGGTCCAACAAATAATAGGCCCGCTGAACCTTGCCGAGGCTCATCTTGGGCCGCATCGGATGCCGCGACGTAGTGTTGCCGGCTACCGGGCTGAAGTGGTAGTTCTCGCTCAGGACGCAATGCGAGGAGGGATTTGATGGTCACGAAAGAACGTGAGAGGTCCTCAGTCAAAGCTGTGTCACGAGAATACTGACGCTCCTTCAGGGGGCTCAATCCTGATCTCCCCAACTTCCCAAAACACCCCGTGTTGAGGAAGCCCAGGCAACCAAACAGCTTGGCGGCAAGACCTGGCGGGAGTCGGTTCGTTTGGGTGGCTTCGTCCATGAGGTCCGTGACCTTAGTGATCAGACGATCTCTCGGCCAAAATCTGACAGGCTGCCCCTGGTGGCAGTTGCCCACATCGTGTACTAGCCCCAGAAAGTCAGATTGACTTTGCATGATCTGATGCTTCTCCGGTTGGAATGGTGAGCCGAGTTCGGTAGCCAGCGACGTAATGAACTGTTGGGCTGAACCCTTCAAGCTGCCCAGGTCCTGGACGGTAAGGTCATCGAAATACATGCTGGCCAAACAATATCCCATGTGTCGACAAAGAGCCTGAAAGAACCGAGGGAACCGGTTGAATGAACAAACAGCGTTGGGCAGTCCAAACAGTGAACCATAGTAACGGCGGAATCGAGGTTCCCCGACATGATGGTCGTAGTAGGCGACGATGGCAAGGTCGGAGTGCTCTGGGACCATGGGAACATGCCGGTATGCATTGGGCAGGTCTTCACCCCCTGAACAAATGCCTTCTGCAAGCAATGAGTCTGCATTGGGAAGAGGGCTGACTGCCCGCCAGAGAAGTTGTACACGCAAACCTATTCGAGTCGTGGCTAAGTTCACTTTGCCCCCCGTCAGCAGCGTCATCAATGACTCTGAGCTTTCCGCTGGGTTGCTGAATGCAAAACCGCCGAATAAGGCGAAAGTGACGTACTTGCCGGCAAAGTTGCGACCAAGACATGGCGGGTCCACAGAACCCTAGTGCTTCGTCGCCTGACCCAGCCCGAACGATAGCTTCATCGTGTTCGCATGACTGCAAGGTGCGGATGAGGCGTTCCGCATCCTGCCACGCCCCGTGCACCACCTCCGACGAGGTGATATAGCTGGCTGGCTGGGCTTTATAGACTGGCACATGTGGGGAAAAACCACTGCCGGAAAACCGAAGATCAGGCACTCCATGAAGGTAGGGTCAGGCCACCCGATGAACATCATCAATAAGCCAATCAGGGCAATGTGGCGGCCCCTAGTAACTCGTGCAGGACCAGGTGGTTGAAATTGGCGTAGCCACTCAGTGATAGGCCATGTGCGCCGGGCCAGCTCATGAATCCAGCGCGTCATATGCTGCCTAGTGGTTCGTAACGATGCACCCAACTGTCGATACTGGTCATCCACAACACCCATCGATTCAAAAGGGGTAGGCTGGGATTTGAGTTCCATTGCCAGCTCAAAGCGCCGTTCATCACCCACGCCGAAGGGAATCAATGGCGGCATGGCTTTCGCCGCAGCCGCGGCCCCTGCCTGCTGAAAACCGTGTAGCGAGATGGCTGCCCGCTCAATGGGTCCCACCAGAGACGGGCCAAACGCTTGGCCCTGCCAGTCGTCCCTGGTCTGCATGGTAGTCAACCAAACGAAGTGAGAGTCATCGATCAACAGATCTTCAATCATGGGCCACTGAAACCCAGAACAATGGATGTGAGGACACAAAGCCATCAGGGCACCGATCACTGTCTCCTGTGAAAACCGGATGGGCCC